GATAGATAGATAGATAGATAGATAGATAGATAGATAGATAGATAGATGGATAGATACTTTATTGATGTTTATGAATGTTTAATTCATGATTTGTCTTCTACAATGTCTGAAAATAGTCATGTTTAGGTATTTCAAGTCTGTTCTTAGCCCGATTATTTAGTTGGAAGCCTGAGAATAAACCAGAGCAGATCAAGAGTACAAATATGACATTTATTGGTCACAAGCAAAGTGAATCAGCTCCCGGAAGATCTCAGTTAGCAAAGAGCCTCCATTTCCGGGTGTGATGGACAGTTTTCCTCTGGGCCTCCAACAGGAGGACGGCTGGACGTAACCGAGTGTTATTGGCCAGTTAGCTCTGACATGAACAGGCCAGGTCCTAATTCATGCAGGTTTAGGTGGAATGTGATAAGAAAGTGTGGAAGCTGAGCTTAAAGACGAGTATTTACTGTAACAGAGAGAGGAGGAGGAGGCACAGCCAGAGAGTTTAACCCAAAAGTAGAATCATACAGGGAATCATATAAATCTAAAAGGGAATAAGACAATCAGTCATTTACATGGATTCAGTGATAACATACTGTACTAAAGTGAGTAATTATTGCCCAATTCTAACACAGTTTAGGGAGGGATTGTTATCAGGAGCTGTGGGAACCTGAGCATGAAATGAAATCCAGTCCTTCTTCTTGATTTCAGATCCGAAACTCTAAAGTAAGCCACCTGTGCATGGACCAGGGCATGAAGGAGAACCACACAGCCACCCTGCACCCCTGCCACGGGTGGGGGCCCCAGGTATATCAACTCTCACTTTTAACTGGCCGGTTGATTCGAGTTTCCTCTGGCTGCAGCCCGTAGGAGCCTCAGCTGGATATCAGACTCCTCCCACATCCAAGTCGGACATTTTGATTAGGTCTAGTGACTAGCAGCTTTCTGAGGTGGAAACGAAACTTTACTGTCTATACAAAATCGAAAGATAAACGATGTCCTATCCCTAACCCTAACCATAACCCTGACCCTAACCCTGACCCTAACCCTTCATAATTGTGAGAACTAAATATTTTTTGGTTAAACTTGTTTGGACTTATTGTACAAACCTATTTAACATCCACTATTTTAACATAATATTATGGATAGAGTTTAATTCAGTGTTTGCTAGATTCATTTCACTATTTTTAAAATAATGTCTGTATTGCCATGAAGCAATTAGGATTTTCTTGCCTGGGAGCTTCCTATTGGTGACTTAATCAAAATGGGATGTGGGTGTAGTTGGATATCCATCCTTGGCTTCCTGCAGTCTGCAGCCAGACGGACTTAGTTGATTCTCTGGTTATCACAAATTCCAGGTTTTACAATGTCCGCACACGTTTACACTCCTGATCTGGACCAACAGGGTTGTGTTTGTTAGGGGGGGCTGCACAGGGACCTGCTGGCTCACCGTTTCATTTCCCTCTGAGCAGCTCAGATTTCCGCAGTCGGCTTCAGAAAGACTGATGAGGGGAGCTCTGGCTTACTCCCACCATCCAAAAACCCGTCCTTCATCTTAACTGGAGGCTCCAAATGAATCAGAGGAGTGGGTGTGAGGGCTTTTCCATCTCATTCGTCCCTCTGTGGTCCTTTGAGGGACTAACCTGTCCAGGTGTCCCCAACCCCATCTGGGATTGGCCAACTGCAACCCCACCAATAGCGGGATAGTACACACCTCTTAGCTTGCTTTTAAGCTCTCATTCATACAGAAAGCTTTGGTTAATTTAGTGTTACAGGCTGCGAGCTGCTTCTTTCTCTCCATCACAAACGCATTAACTCGCCTTCAGTGAGTCACTGACCTTCCACTTGGCAACCAGAGAAGCCCCAACAGGTGCTTTTTTGCCTGTTTGGAATATTTAATGCACATTTGGGGCCGGCGGGGGGGGGGGG